GCCCCAGAAAACCTCATGATAGGTTTGTCTTAGGGTTGCCATAAGTCCAAAACAATGTGAAGGCACAAAACAACAACAACAACAACAACAACAACTGTTTGTTAGTCTTTGCCAAGCAAAGTTGTTATACATTTAACCCTACCTACAAATTTTAAAATAGATTATCCTATCCCTTCATGTCCAGATCAACACAACATTTCTATCATGGCTAAAACACTGGATGGTTTTGAAATAATGGGAGAAACTTTGACTCTCACCATTTGAAAAAGAGGGGAATCCCCCCCCCCAGCATATTGAATAATGAGGTGACTTCAAATAAAGTTTAAGATGGATAAAAAACCTTTTAATATTCCCATCTGGGTGGGTGGGTTATAAATTAAACAAACAAACAAATAAAATGAACTAATAATTTCCCCCCTCAAAATAAGATCACTAGAAGAAGGACTGCAAATTTTATCCTTAATGTGGGTGTTGAATACTGGATAGGTTATATCAGTCAACCATGGGGGTTGCAGATTGAGTCCACTTTTAGGGTTAGGGTTAGTACTAGGGAATTATGGGATTTTTTTTTTTCTCTGAGATATTGAGCCTTCCCTGTCTGAGAGCTCTGGTGCCACAATAAAATACAGTTCCCATGATTCCCTAACCCTAACCCTAAAAGTGGACTCAATTTGCACTATTTCTGGCAGTCTGCACCCCCCCCCATGTTAGAGTAATTTACAGCAACTGACCAGTTCTCTATAGCGATACACATAATATTTGCCAGAATTCACATTCTCAGCAAGACAGGGTACTAAGTACATCAACAGCATAACCAAAAGCATTTTTTTTTGTCAAGATTCCCAATGTGCATAAAATGCCTCCGCCCAAACTGATCTCTTTTCCTGTTGTGAAGTAAAATGTACACACAGACAGCAAGCACAAAAAGGCAGGCTGATAACCCAGCCAATGCTTCTGCTTTTGAAATGTTCATGCAATAAGACAACAGCAATCACTGTATCCATAAATCCATTTATGTAGTTTTGACAAAATATAGTCCTATAACCTTCGCTGGGTTATATGTGCAAAAAAATTATTTTTGGCTGTCATCAGCAATTATTTGTTTGTTTAAGATTTCTTACACAGGAGAAGATAAATGGAAATTTTCTTTTCTTTTTTTAGTAATAAATGTATTTTATTGATATTTAACAATAGTACAATTTCAGTATTGCAACAATTCATCCTCTTGTTACAAACAACCCACTACCTTCCCATCCCTCCCCTATTTCATAGTTCATAACAGAAATACTGCTCTGACAAAACTCATACATCTGCAATTTATATTCTATTTCTTTACATGTTATTCATCTAACCCAAATTTAATGTGCTCATTTAGTGGTTTAAATTCATCATCACTTTGATATATAAAAATAACAAATGGCTTCCAAATGATACCAAAAAATGTCTTCTTTTATTTCTCCTTTTGCTAGTCTTAATGTATAGGTTAACTTCTCTGATAGGGCTGTAGTTCAGATCCTGTTTAGCCAATTCCTAATTGACAAATTCTTTAATTTCTTCCATGCTTTGCCAATTTCTAATCTTGCTGCACATAACATAAGTGATATGAGGTCACAGAATCAGAGTTGGAAGAGACCACAAGGGCCATCAAGTCCAACCTCCTGCCATGCAGGTCTTTATGTGATAATCTTTATTCTCCCTTTCAAATACTGGTAGATATCATTATCATTAGTAATGCTCCCCATTAAATCCTCCTCTAAAATAGATCCCCCTCCCATTAGCATCCCTGGCATCTCCTGCACCATGTATTTCTATATTTTCATATCTGGAGCCAGACATGTCTTAAGATGTCACAATGATATTTGGAACACCAGGAAACTTTCCCATTGGATGGACATGTAGACCCAGATATGTGAAGGACCCAGGTAATACCAAGATAAAGGCTAAATGAGTTTGTTGACCTCTCCATCCTCTCACCATGCTTTCTGCATATACTCTCACACTGCAGGTGAAGGTGAGTAAGCCACTACTTCCTACCTACCCCCTGCCATGTTATCAGCCAACTTTCCTATCCATCTATTTTGGGATTGTCCTAAATCCAGTTGATATTTTTATTACTCCTGTTACCCGCAAAGGTGTGAGGCTTGGAGAACCTCCACTAAGCACAGCAATGTATCTTTAATATGTTGGGGAATATTATTTTAGCTTGTGAGAGGCTAACCTATGGGACTGAAAGCACCCTTTTAGACACTCCAGGCATTGGTGAACTAGGGTCCAAACACTGCAGCAATAATCCAGTTGCCCTCCGAGCTGCCAGGGCAATAATCCAGTTGCCCTCGGAGCTGCCGGCCCTCTGCACGGCCAGTGTGGAGATTCAACTGGCCTGGCTTAGTGCTAGGGAATTCTGAGAATTGTAGTTTACTGTGGCACCAGAGCTCTCTGACAAAGAAGGCTAAATGTCTCACAAAACTACAGTTACCAGAATTTCCTAGCACTGAGCTGGGGCAGTTAAAGCAGTCTCAAACTGAGTATTTTTTGCAGTGTGTTTTGGACCTAAGAGAACTTTTATTTGGAATAAATATGAAAGAACATGCACACTAGAATAACTGACTCTAACATCCAGCATCCAGAGCTAACCAAAATAGAAATTTGAAAAGGGATAGCAAAGATTGAGGGTTGGATGAAGGGTAATATCTACCTGTCTCAAGGCGTGGTCCATGGAAAGCAAGAACGGCGCAGACCAGGGGTCTTAGAGTAACAGGAACAACTTAGGAGTCTGAGGGCAACAGTCACAAAGTACAGCTAGGGGGTTGATTGTGTGCAAAGAGGCTAGGTTTTTCTAGTTATATTTATACCTTAACATTTGCCTCAAGGTAAGCTAATTTAATGAGAAACAAAGATTTAATAGCTATTCAGAAGAACCGAAAAGGATTGTTTTGATATCCAAAAAATGAAAAGGATTAATTTGATTGATGGTTGCATCATTGACTTCACAAAGGAGTGACAGGATCTGGGGCACCCCAAAATGTGTGGACAGGAAGGGTTCTTGGGAACACAATAGGAAATAAAGAGGACCATGGTCTTGTTTGATCTGTTGGTGAGAACCCATCCTTTGTTTTTGGTTCCAGTAGGAATTGAAGGCCTATTTTTTTTTTTTTGCCTCTTTTAGCAAACCACTTTTATCTTTTATGTTTAGGCCATGCACATGTTTGGAGTCTATATGCCTCATTCTATCTATCACAGGGTTTTCTTGGCAAGATTTGTTCAGAAGAGGTTTCCCACTGCTTTCCACTGAGGCTGAGAGCATGTAACTTGCCCAAGGCCACCCAGTGGGTTTCCATGCCTAAGCGGGAATTGAACCCTTGTCTCCCGAATCATAGTCCAGCACTGAAACCACTATTGCATGCTAGGCTCTCTATATTAAAATTATTAATATTAAAATTAAATACTAAATTTACTAAAATTAGGATTGTCCAAATCAATGTATTTCCCATTACCATGTATGGATGTGAGAGCGGGACAGTGAAGAAAGCTGATAGAAGGAAAATAAACTCATCTGAGATGTGATACTGGAGAAGAGTGGTAAGGATACTGGATGACCAAAAAGACAAACAAATGGATCCTAGAACAGATCAAGCCTGAGAAGACATGACTCATTGGACAGAGCAATGATGCTGGAAAAAGTGGAGGGCAGTAGAAAAAGAGGATGACAACACACCAGATGGAGGGAGACAGTGGGCCTGAGCCTGCAGATCTAAGCAGAGAGGTAGAGGATCGGGGGTCTTAGAGATGTCTCATTTACAGAATCGCCATGAGTGGAAGTCAGCTCGAGGGGAGTTAACAACAAACTCTTCCTCCAGAATTTTTACACTAGACAGTTGCCCATGGAAGGCATTGTGCTTTTTAGTTATTCCATTTTTAAAAATATATTTTAATATAAACAACATTAGTAAAACACTTCTTTTCACCCCATCAAGACCCACAGCCCTTCCCAGGGGCAAATGAAAAACAAAAGGGAAAAATGTGATTATACAGCAGACAGAATTAATAATGTGGTGAGGATAATGATGTGCTTTGTCAAAACTTGCTGTCAGCACTCCTTTGTATCATAATATTATGCAAACTCACCAGTCTTGTGTTTAACTAGTCTCATTGTTCATATTTTATGAAGCATACGGTCTTGTCTAAAAAGGCTTATCATATATGCTGAAATCTGTTCAGCCATTCTTTCTCAGCCAACATACTTGGTGCCTCTTTCCTATTTTCATTAATAATATATGCTGCTTCATTTTTGAATCTTACACCAAATTATTGTATAACTCAGATTTTATGAAATGTACACTCTTGTTTCATATTGTTCAACTGTATCTCAGTATTATATTAACTTCCACCTTTCTCTCCTTGCTTATTTATTTATTGTGTTAATGGCCTTCTGTGTCATCTATATATCTATATGGGCACATTGCATCTTTTCTCCCAAATAATAAAGATCAGCTAGGGGAGTGAAAGAAATTTTCTGCATAATTGCAGGGGGGGGGGAGAGCTTAGTGGTGCCTTCCTGCTATACACCCAGCTTCTACCTAATGAAGCTACTTCTCTTCCTTTTCATCTTCCCTCAGTGTAGCCTATATCTGTGTGGTTCTCTGTGTCAAAAACTGGATAGTGGCCATACAGTCCTTTACATCTTGCTAAGAATTGCCTCAAAGTAACTGGTAAATAACTGGCAAATTTTCCACCCAGCAGACTACACTTGCCTAAATTAAATGTGTTTTAGATAATCACTGAAATCAAACACATACCTCAGATAATGTTTTCAAGAATACTACCTTATAAAGATTTTTGATCATGGTGTCTCCCCTGCCAGGTAAGTATACCTTATAAAGATTTTTGGATACACTGGTGGCTTTTATCTCATAAGACCTTGCATTAAACTGATAAATAACCAGCTTTAAGGGAAAATTGCATGTATTTTTAAGCCATCCATGCAAGTGACTGTCAGTTTTTGTATGTCTTGTTATCCTCCTACCACCTTTGTTCTCTGTGCATGTTCCTGGCTGAATACTTGCTAATGGATATAATGTAATGTCACTGGGGCAGTATACCTTTTCCAGTTTTTAGACCAGAATTATCCAAGATGCTGAATCCTACTGCCAAAATCTATTCACATCCTGGCCAGCTCATCTCAAGTTCTGAGTAAAACCCAGAGCAGATTCACCACATCACTGACATGGGAAATACCAGCTACCCCCAAACCATCCATTCTTTAGTTGATTTTAATTGAGAAGGGTTGGGGAGATGCCAGGAGAAAGGATCTCAAAACTAGAATAATCTCCAATTATCACGGATTTATAGAACAAATTATTTATTTTCTAATTCAGTCAGACTAATTGAAATATAGACTGAATCCAATAAACCCATCTTGATGTCATTTCATACAAATCAACACACTTCAGGTGAATATAATTAGGAAAGAAGTCCCCCCCCAGCATTAAATTTATATAAATCAATATGTAATGATAGTTGAAATCAAACCAAAAGACAAACTTCAAAGATATATCAGATGATTCAAGTAGCTAAATTTGGCAGGTTAAAAGTATTGAAAGTACTATGGGAATCAGAATTGGAAGGAAAAAGAGAGAAAATAAACAATGGAATTTTATTTGAAATACTCCAAATTAAAAATCAGTAATACAAATGAGAGAAATTTCATTGAAAATTATACATCAATGGTAGTATTACACATGTAAATTACATAGGATTAATAACAGAATATCACAACTATAGTGGAGAGGATGTGGAGAAATAGAGATTTGGAGCCATATGTAGCTAAGTTGCCCAAAGGTGTGATGAGATTCTTTCATGGATAAGTCAAATAGTGGGTAGTGTTACTCAAAAAAGTGGGAGGACCTGAGGTCCCCATCAAGTGTGTCAGCATCTCCTTAAATCCTGGGGGAATTGCTCAAGGAGGCTTGTGAGAGGCTGGATAACTTAAGGATCATTTTCACCTGTTTATACGAGTACTAACTGCAGGGGACTCCAGGTTTGGTGACTATAAGAAGGTTTTTATTAGGAAATATGCAAGATTACAATCAGACACACAATCGTGCTTCAAACACCATACAGAGCGAACCAAAACAGAGATATGGAAATTGAATAGTGAAGGCTTAGAGTTGTAAAGGGGATAATATTTACCTATCCTGAAGAGGAAACCATAGAAAGTGGGGTGTAGCTCAAACAGCATCTGAGGATAATGCAGTGAGTGGATGAGGCTCTCAGCACACACACAGACCATGAGCAGACTGTGAGCACAAACTATGTGTGAGGAAGCTATATCTGGGACTTATATTTGTACCTGATATCCTACCTCAAGGAATACTAGGTGCTGTCTTGCAATATAGCAAAGACCTGAGGGTCTTCCCAGGGAGTCAGCAATGGGATTCCAGAATGGCTGATTGTTTTAACTTCTGAGTGTAAGCACCTTGATATCCTCTTGATGCATTTTTATTATTCTATATTTGTATGTTTCACTTTTGATGCCAGAATGTGCTTTGGAGGTTGGAATGACCCTTTAAACAGCAGAAACATCGTATTCGAATGAGGCACACAACAGCAACAACAACAATTTTAGTATTCAAGGTTATGTCTTTACCCTTTAGGACAGGGGTAGGCAACCTAAGGCACGGGGGCCGGATGTGGCCCCTCAAGGCCTTTGGACCGGCCCTAGGCCGGTCCTGCTGCTGCTGCAGCACCCCCTACCACTGCCACCAGCCATAATGATATTGATTATTGTTGTTATTACTTGTTCTTGGGGTTTTCTTAGCAAAATCTCCACAGGGGGGTTGCCATGGCTTTTCTGGAGCTAACACAGTGTGCATGCATTTTTTATTTTAATTAATTTATTTATTTATTTATAGTGCTTCGGCCCCCCAATTGTCTGAGGGACAGCAACCCAGCCCCCGGCTCAAAAAGGTTGCCTACCCCTGCTTTAGGATCTTGTCTAGTTCTTTCATAGCTGCCCTTCCCAACCGTAGTCTTTTGAGTTCATGACTGCAGTCTCCATTCTGATCAATGTTTGATCCAAGGCATGGGAACACTTTGACTATTTCTACTTTGTCATCATCTAGGATTAATTGATGTAGTTCTTCCATGGTCATTATTCCCCCCCTCCTTAATATTCAACTTAAAGCCTACCTCATCACTTTTGTCTTTGACTTTCTTTAATAACTATTTTAGGTGTTATTTTCTTCTAGTAGCATGGTATTATTTTCATATCTTAGGTTGTTAATGTTTCTTCCTCCAATCTTCACTCCTCCTGCCTCTGAGTCTAAACTCGCCCTGTGTATGATATTTTCTGCCTACAAGTTGAATAAAAAGGGTAATGGAATGCGGCCTCATTTGACCCTTTTGCCAATTAGGAGCCATCCTGTTTCTCCATATTCAGTTCTGATGGCAGACTCTTGTCCTAAGTACAGGTTACACATCAGGACAATAAAATGTAGTGACACTCCCATTCCTCTAAGAGCAAGTCATAGCTTATTGTGTTCTATGTGGTCAAAGATTTTGCTGTAATCAATAAAGCACATGTAGATTTTCTTCTGGAATTTGTTGGTGCACTTCATTATCCATCATAAGTTTGCAACGTGATCCCTAGTGCCTCTTCCTTTCCTCAATCCAGCTTTCATCTCTTGGATTTCTCACTCCATATATGGTAGGAGTTTTGCTGAAGAATTTTGAGCATGACTTTGCTTGCATGGGAAATTAGTGCAATGGTCCTGTAATTGCTGCAACCTTTTGAGTGTCCTTTTTCTGTGAATGAGAATGTATATTGATCATTTCCAATCTGTGGGCCACTGTTTTGTTTTCCATGTTTGTTGGCAGATTTTAATTAGAACAGAATTTAATTCTGTTTGCTTTAGATTGTTGCACTTCTGTTGGTATGTCATCAATTCCTGTTGATTTATTCTTCCCAATTGCTTTGAGTGCTGCTTTCACTTTGCTTTCCAAAATTTGTGGTTTTTCTTCCTAAGTTTCTTCTTCCCATGGGTCATTAGTCCTTTTATATTTTTTTACTTAGCTCTTCTGTGTACTGATTCCACTAGGTTTTTTTTTTTAATTTCATTGTGGTCATGCATTATGTTTGTCTTTTGATTGTAGAGCATTCCTATCTTTGGCTTCAGCTCTATTTGCAGGGGTAGTTTATCCCATACAACAAATGGTACATCCCTGGTTATATAGTCTTACACCATGAGTGGGCAAAATGTGGCTTGTGGACCATATGTATCTCCCCAGGACTGTTTTTGTCCCATTCCTAGGAGCATGGGGATATTTTGTGACTTTTGGGGGTGGGGGCTGGACCATTCTTTTAAAATAGGAGGTAAACTGGAAGTGATTTCCATTTTTGGTTGGTAAAAA